GAGAGAGAGAGAGAGAGAGAGAGAGTCGGATTAATAGGGGTTAAGGGGTTGACGAAAGGATTGTTTAGATGAAAAGCAACAAAACATTATCTGTAAAGTGATAGGAATAAAAGAAAATTATCATGATCCTGAAATCTTTCAACATTAAGACGTCTTGAGGAAAAAACAGAATTAAACAAAATACAATAAATAAATTAACAAACTGGTTCATTTGCTTCGCGCACCTTGGAGTGATTTGATACACTGAAGGAGAAAATCTATTTTCTATGCAGTTTTATCTATTTGCCGGTGCATCATGTGTTGCCATCGCTACTCATTCAATATTACCGTCCCTTATTTCACAGCTTTCTGAAGTATCACATTGGCTTCACCACGAACTGTTTTACAGCAACGATTCCTACTCCATGATACATCTTAACTATCCAATAGTTGCCGAAGTTGGTGAAGTAATTTCATTGTTCCATACGATGATATGTCAACATATTTATCACCGCCTGTCGCATTTGTCTCAACTGAAACAAAGAAAGGCGTTTTATAAAGAAATAAATCAAATTTAGATACAAGTATTGTCATTGTTGTTATTTTTACTGCAGTCACTTCCATGCAGAAGAAAGGCCATCAGCTGTTTTCGAAAACAAAAAGTAATAAAGTGTACAAAATACTTTTTATTAACTAAAGCTTTAGGTTCACGAAGTGCATGTAGCCTACGTAGAGTTTCAGAGATTTTAAAAGTTGATTTTTCAGCTTGAGCGTAAACGTGCATTTTATGACAATGTAGCAAGGTAACTTTTTCCACATTCAGGGTGAAATCATAATTTAAGAACAACGTCTTTATTTGAGGAAAAACTGTAGGCCTACCTGGATGGGCCCAAGATCGACTCCGTGGGAGCTCGCTGTTGCTATCAGGGGGTCGCTGCTGTAGTAGAGCAGGCTCCAGGCCAACACGCAGATGTCTGAGACTGTGAGAGACAAGAGAGTGACAGTCACTGTGTTCTTACGCCAGTCTTGTCTCAGGAACACAGACGTGCTCAGCGAGTTCATGACCAGTCCAGCCACACAAACGAACACGCCGAGAATCACAGACACGTTCATGATTAGATCCGAGGTAAGAAAATCTAACCTGTTTCTACTTCAGCGGTTCTTCGATTTTTTTTAAAAGATGGGGTAGTACCAGGTGTCTTTTCAGGTCAATTAAAAAGTAACCAACCTTCATCTATAAGTTAAAGGGGACAATTTTCTTTCTTGCAGATGTATTGGTCTTAGACAAGAATTCACAAAATGTACATGCCATCCATAACCAGTGAGTTCATTTTTGTTAGACTTTCAGAACAAACCGAAATAACTGTTCTATCTGAAATGACTTAATTTTGTTACTTTTAGTCGCTGTTTCAATCGTCAGGTTGAAGGAAACCTGTATGTTTTGCAACAGGTCCGTGTGTGGAGTTGCCACATTAGATATTACGAAAATTTGAAAACTCTTTAAAGTAGCGATTTCATCTGAGATGTATCCTGGACATTAGAGTTATATAAACTCAGACAGATGTGCATTTTTTGCACAAAGCTTTCTGAGAAGCCGGGGCGAAGGCTGACTTGCTTGACAGGGTAATCAAAGTGAAACGGGGCCAGATACTATGGCCTGGAGATATCACACAAGAATCTCACTCGAGGCGGCGACTCTTAATAAGTTGTGTGAATGAAAACAAATCCGGAAATCAACCGCCAAAATAATCGGGATAGTGTCTCATTAAATATCAATTCCAACTAAAATTAAATTTAACTTTAGAAGTGAATACACAAACCCAAAGTAAGGAAGCAGAGATGTCAGTACTAGATCTTTGGGAGAACATAACAATTATCATTTTTTAAAATTTTACTTTTGGCTGTTTTTATCTAGCTTTTCGCGGCCAGGAGCTGGTGTCATGATCGAGGTCACGATCTGATTATAGGAAGGTAAAAAGTCGAGGAAAAAAAACAACAAGCTCTCGCAGCAGTAAAGAGATTATTAGGAGTTAGTTTCCCTCACATCTGTAAGGTAGACTCGACCAGTGTAATAGTTCACTTACATAATCAGGGCTTGGGACTGATTATAACTGTCGCCCGAAAGGGGTGAACAGGGTATATGTGGCAATGAAACTGTTTTGACTGCTATGCACATATTCCCTTCAACTCTATTGGTAGACTCTTCCAGCCTCACTTTAAGCTTACTTAATCAAAGCTTGTGACTGCTTATTGAGTGGCCCGGGAGGGGTGAGCAGGCTATTTCTGTGGCAGTGAAACCGTTTTGAATGTTAAGCATAGGCCTACTGTTCATTGTTGATTATAAACGTCTTTTTACATTTAATTCATAAGTTTTACGTTTATAAGTGAATTTGACTGCTACAACGTTTCAAAATTAGGAAGGGAAGCAGTGATTATTTGATTTTATAGACGCTTCGCCACTGCTAAGAAGCACATGCAAATACAGCTGATAAATAGAACCCAAGCCTTAAAATCTGTCAAGAACACACTTGTCACAAAAGTTATTAAGACCCTTGATCGTTGTTCAGGAGTTATTAAGTACTACAACCGAACGGCTTTGCACTTCCGATACATTATTAAATATTATTGTGTCCTATCTAATGCGTTACCCAGTGCTTTCAATCAACTCACAGACCAATCCAAAATGACGAATCATCCAAGTTCTTTATGCAAACCTTCTAAATTTATGTCTTTCCCTAAAAATTCTCAAAATGGCTCTATAATAACTAAATCATAGATCTACGTGACCTTTTCTCTCAAATGTCTAGTGATACCACCTTGAAAATTTTTCTTTTGCAGAGATCTTTTCAAGATTTTAAAGGAGAACCACTTTTGGTTATCTGATCGAATGTATAACTTATTAAGTATATTTGAACTTATAAATTTCACATCGATACTAGTGGGTTTAAACAAAAAATTGTGTATCGACCAGGAACAATTTTGGATCTTTCTTTCAACAATCTTCCTTTGAATGTATTTATCTATCTAAATAGCATATACGCATCATTACTGTTGGAAAACTGATTTTTAACATACGAAGAGAGAGAAGCAAATCCATTCACTTAAAGCAGTAGCAAAGACGATAACGTTTTTGTATTTTGCTTTAAAAGTGATTTAACTGCTTATCAGTCCATCCCCTTTTTGTAATTTTGACACAGGAGATATACTACCCTTACAGATCCATGCTAATGCTTCTCAATTGTGAAAAATGCAGCTATGACAACTATAATAATATCAAAAATTACCACTGAATCAATTAAACAAGATCATTATATTGTTTGCAGAGACAGTTCAGATGATAATGGATAATGACTGAAGATATGGTGTACACACAAATCTTCTAGACATAATCTAACATTTCTCCCTGTTCATGGTGATGAAATCCATGCAGCCTTTTGACAACCCCCCAGTATTTCAATTTCAAAGATTTTCCATTCTATAAATTTGGTCGTATAGCGAAGTATTCATCATCCCCCCAAGGATATTGGGAAAACAGTAAAAGGCATTAAAGTAAAGTATGGGAACAAAGTACATGGTGTGTTTGTATTCACCTTAGCGTTCACTGTTCGAATCTACCTGTTTGGAGACTAAGGATGCTGCCTTTATACAAACATATTTCATAATTTTAAAGTCTTTCAGTTAATTCTCAGGCTTGGTAAATTAATGTGTTCTAGGAGAACCAGATTGTCAAATTCTAAACGATCATAATATGAGCAACAGTTGTCAGATGACTTGGGCACAAAAGTTAATTTTTATATGAAGCGTTTGTTAGCAACTTTCTGGGCAACATTCTGGCTTGCTGAATAAATTTATGGTCGGAATTTAGTTTTAGAAAAAAGGTTTTATTGCGTGTTTCAATTATGTTCCCAGTTATAGAATAGTCCGTCTTTTAAAATCGTCATTAGAGAAACATAATTCAAGTAAATTATTAAGAACAACGAAGTAGTGACTCCACTCAGCAAGACGCTGTGTCTTAAGGTTCTGCTGCAAACATTATTTTCAGCTATTCAGTTCCCTCTGTCTATGCTACACACTGTACTGCTTAGGATCTTCGTTGTTGTCAAGAAAACTCCAACCCCTTAGTCCGATTCCCAATAGGAAAGTAAATTATATTATTTTACACCCCCCCCCCCCACACACACACACATACACACACACACACACACACCAAAACTGATGTACGCAATGCGTAGCTTCATTTTCAGAACTCTTTTGAAATCAGGGTTCTGGTGTTTGATCAGAAAGACCGCGTTTGCCAGACTGTTATTTTTGTTCTGTTTCTCTTCCTGTAAATGGCTATAATCAGCTCATCATACTCCGAAGTGATCTTTTTTCTTTTCCTTTATTACTCAATGCAGGCAAGAAATAATGAGAGTAAGGAGAGGGAAGGAGGAGACCATACTATACACAATATGTGATTTGTTAGGTA